GTTTTATTCCACCAAATACTTTTATATATCAATTTGATATTACTGTTGAATAGTAAACAAGGTTTTATGGAAATGTTTAGTAAATATAGCTAGAAAAAATGATATGTAAGTTAGTTGGTAGCTTATAAATGAATTTAGAGCTTATAAGCTTATGGTTGATGAGTAAAAAAATAATTGATATGATGAAAATGTTAAGTAAATTTAATTCATAAATCAGCTAAGTTAAAATTTTCAACAAACATTTTTTAGAAACTCCACATAAAACCATAAGAGGTAAGTTTCAGTTTTCAGAAAAACTCATCCCACTAAACTAATAGAAGAATATTCATTTGAGATTTCTAAAGGCTTTTAAGACTTTAGAAATACTGTTTTATTTAATTTAGACTTTTTAAGACTAAGCTTCAGTTTTGCGTTATTCATATGAGATTTTAAAGTCTTACAGAGTCTTGAGTTATTTAAATTATTTGAGAGTAGTATTTGTTGAGAGATTTTAAAGTCATAAAAAATTTGTATTTAAATTATGTGAGAGTAGTATTTGTTAAGACATTAAAATTTGTTGAGATTTCAAAAGAAAAACCATATATGCAATCTCACTTCAAATTCCATCTCGAGACTTTTAATATTTCACATGATTCATCTTAAATTTGAAAATGTTTAAAAGTCTCAAATTTTAAAAAATCTGGAAATGTCACTCGAAATTCCAAACAAATACACCACTTAAAATTTATTTGAATACGATGAGTTTCATAATCTAACTAAATAAATTATATGCTAGTCTACTTTATTCACCAAACACTCTCATACATTCTTAGATGATTGAGAAATGAACAAGAACAACAACAAACGATTCCTTTCCTTAAATTGGCTGAGGCTGAGACAAGACACTAATACCGAAGGTACTACGTATTTTGCATCGAAAAAAAAAATACTATATTTTCAAGTCGAGCTAGTTATCATCTTTCAAGTAGAAAAACGAAAGTATTAGTAAAAATTTTCAATAGCTCTGTTTTTAATTAGTCGACGAAACAAGAGAATATGAGGCAGAGCTTCGGGATGTTTATGAAATCCAGACAAAGATCGAGTCAGGAAGAGACTTTATATTTGTCATTATATTGACTGGCATGCGTCTATTTGATAACTGATGTAGAAATTTACAATCTATTACAGCTTCTAGCTTTTGGCTATGTTTTTACACGGCAAGACGTTTGGTTTTAAAGAGTTTTTTTCTTGGTGCAGGGACCTTCCGGTTTCCGGTTTTAAAGAGTTTTGAACTTGCTATTTGTGCACTTTCCGAGAGAGGATCGATATTGAAGGAAAAATTAATATATTTTAATTAATTGTCACTCATTCTCATTATCAGCAACCACATATCGTTATAAATCCACAAAACCAGCCATTAACAGACGAATCGCTCTCATTGCCCAATTCAAAATATTCTAGAATAGTGTAATAAAAGGGTCTATGAAGCTGAAAAACCAGCAATGTCGTCATGTTTTCAATTTTCATGCTTTCTAAACACGAAATTGTTCCATCAACAG